TGGAAAGGATGAGAAGCCAGGAAGAAAGCTCTTCATTTTAAAATTCTATGCTCTATTCTGCTGTTTGTGTGCATGTCTGAGCAGTGAGGTTTCCACTTCGAGGGTGGGCCTTTATTCACAAAGGCTGGGGGGCCTTAGGGGTTTTTTAGGGCAAGGAAAAGAAAAAGTGCAGTAAGGAGTTGCTGCCTTGGGGTACAGTGGGATCGAGTATTCTCACCCCAGAAAATCAGAAGGTCCTGTTGGAAGCTTCCTTGAATCTAGAAAGGATCGGCTTAGTCGTGTTTTTTGTTTGTTTGTCTGGGATTTTTTGTTGTTGTTTTTTTTTTTGCAAAATCCCAAGCAATCAAGCTAGGGGAAGAGATTCCACACACACACACACCCACTCCCCACCCTCTACCTCACCCTGCAGCCCTTACACATCCCTGCGGGATCAGACCGACTGACTTGGGTGGGATTTTGCTGGGGGAGGAGGGAGAAGGTGACGTGCGTGGCGCCATGATCGGAGGTCTGGGTTTAATTCTTAGCTGCGAGGTGGAAAATTGACTTGGGAGTGCGATCTTAGAGGTGAAGTCTAGCTTCCCCTTTTCCTACTGAGCCGAAGCGTTATTCTGAAAGCTAGTTTTGCCGGTCTTTCTTTCACATTCTGGCAAAGGGCAGTTCCAAAGATACATTCGTAGATACACGACTCTCTGCTAGATTATTCAAGTCCCCTTTTATCTCTATCTGAACTTGATGTAAATAAATCTCCACATTCCTTAAACTAGTTGCTGTTATCATACTAAATATCTTCTATAATTAGGGGTTGTGTAATATCAACCCAGGACTCTCAGACTCTTTCTTCTTAGTGGAACTGTTTTTATACGGTATACCCTTCAGGCAGAAAGAAAGAGTTCTATAAAGTAAAATCCCTTTTCTTTAAAATTTGAAGGAGCATATGCTTTGATTCATTAGCTTTATTACTATGTTTCGCTTTGCCCAAGAGGCCTAAAATAAGAATGGTATTTTTTTACCATTTGACTTTCAAGAAATCAGATCTAGCACTCAGAGAAATAGGATTTTAAATATGTTAAGATACAGAAAGTTTATTAATTGAAAGTTTACTGTTTTTCATTCTTAAATTGGGATCAAGTACTTGATTATTCTACTTTTATTTGCACAAAAATCTAAGAAACAATAAGTACCCTTGTACAAATTGTAAATATGTGATAAATTATGTAGAAAAGAAGAAAGGGTCCCAGCAAATTCACATGAAAAAAGACATGCCACTGATTTGGTAGGAATAATTAGTAGACCACCAAATAGGCAACCCTCTTCCACTTCTATTGCTCCATTGGGGCATTGCTGTTAATTCACTATGTGAAAGAACATGAGAGAAGAACTAGAATTTAGCAATCAACCAGTCCACTAAGACAAGACAATTCACTCTGGGGAAAACAAAGGATTGGCAGGGCAGGCAAGGTTTAGTATCTGTAGTAGTCAGGATTAGCTAGGTTTTAACAAACATCTCAGCCCCTTGTTGCAACAAAGGTTTATTTCTCACACAGGTTACATTTGGCACAAGTCATCAGGTAGCCTGTTTCAGTGAGGTTCACTGAAGAACAGACCCTAAAACTCATATTTTTATCCAGGAGGTTATTGGGTAGTGCTCTCAAGAACAATCTGGAGAGAAGGTCACAAGATCAGGCAGAGGGAGAAATTGAAGTGCAACACAGTTGTAAATGAGGCTCTAACCAATTCTGCGGAGAGCACTGAGGTATAGACCTTCTGCATTGTCCTAAATTGAGGCAAGGGGCCAGGTGTTTATACCCTCATACCAACCAGTCAGTGTACAGGGCTGCACATAGGGAAAGGAGCTAACCTTTGAATAGAGAGCTTTCTTTAGCCAACAGCAACAACCCCACAGAGGGATCCAGCCAAGAGCTGTCAGCCACCAACAATTCCAGCAGTTGTGAGAGCTTGTGCTTTAGTACTAGAGGGTAAAGCTGGGTAGCTCAGCACAACATTTACTACATGGACTCTGCTCATTGTAGTCGCTGAAGTCCCCAGACTGATGGAAGCTTCAAAGACATACATACTTTCAAGATTGCCACTGTAGGGATCATGAAATTTAATTGCTAGTACTGCAGTGTCTTGGTATGTCTGAGGAATGAAAAGGAGGCCAATTTATTGGAGCATAGGAGATTAAATTAGAGCGTTAGGCATGTTCCACATCACAAGGCTAGTAAGGCCATAATAAAGGTGTGGATCATTTGCCTCTTTGCTCTGTTCTATTCTCTTCCCTTTTCTTCTTTTTCCAGGGGCTAACTACTACAAAGTAAATTTCCAGCACTTCCTTGCCCACTGCCTTCCATTTAGGTTCAGCCAATGGGAGGCACAAAATTAACCAAATCCAAGCTCCCAAAAATGGACCAGACACTCCTACTTATTCATTTCTATGTTCAGCAAATATTTATTGTTCACTGTGTTCCAGACTCTGTGCTAGGCTACTTTGGATACAATAAACAAAACAATCAAAGCCTCTGCTCTCACATTGCTCTGTGATACCAAAGAATTTACAGTTCCTCAAACACACATGCCTTTGTGCCTTTGTACTTTGTTTTGTCTGCCAAAAATGCCCTTTCCCCTCTGATTGTCTCTTTAATTCTTTTTTACCATTCAACATCCAGCTCAGATTGTACTACCTCTGAGAAGATTCCCCTGACCCCAAACCCCAAACAGAATTATTCCCTCTTTGCATTACTTACATTTTCTTTTTAAGTAATTTATAGTATTTTTATAATAAACATGCAAGAGCTTTATGATAAAAGTATGGTTCACTGTTTTTAAAAGAACAAATATGAATGATGCCTATCTGGTGCCTGAATTTCAAATTAGACATTTGTTTGTTTTCTTCAATAGAGACATTTTTCTTTATTAAATTTTAGGTAACTCCACCTACCCGACATTCTTTTCATAATCAGTCTTTTATACTTTTTGTATAAATTAGTTAATAACATACTTTCAAATAGTTAATCCAGAAAACATCTGTTAAGAAGGACAAGAATATGAGAGACTTGATTGGGTTTGAGAGTTGTTCAAAAGGAAAACAGATACTGAAAGAATGGAGGAAGCATAAACAACTTGATTACTTCATAAATTTTCCTGGGCTAGCCATGTCTATGACTAAAGTAAAATAGATTATCCTCATTTTATTTCAAAAAGTGAAACGTATAAATTTCCAAAAAAGTAATTACTCAAGTGTATATACCAAAAGAGAATTAAAGTCCTCACCCTGGTAAAGTGTTGTCCCAATATGCCAAGGTTGTGGGTCCGATCTCTGGTCAGGGCACATACAAGAATCAACCAATGAGTGTATCAATAAGTCAAACAACAAATTAAAGTTTCTCTCTCTCTCTCAAATCAATAAATAAAAAGAGAGGGAGAATTGAAGTCAAATATTGAACTAGGGTCTCCTAACTCAGGGTTATATCCTTCGTCTTGTTATTTCTTTTCTTTTTTTTAAAGAGAGAGATAGAAACATGGATTGGCTATTTCCCTTACGCCCCCCCCCCACACACACACACCCCGCACCCCTACTGCAGATCAAACTCACAACCTGGGCATGTGCCCCAACTGGGAATCAAACCAGGACCTCTCAGTCCATGGGATGATGCTCAATCCACTGAACCACACCAGCCGGGCTTGTTATCTCTCTCTCCCTTAGCGGAAACCGAACGCGGGTCTCTCCGGACCGCAGGCGGACGCTCTAACCGCTGAGCCAAACCGGCCAGGGCTCCTTAATGTCATTAAATCATCTAAATCTCTTCCATTTGTGATTAAACAATTACATGTACTGAGGAAAAATATTAAACCAGAAAACCAAATTTTTAGGAACAGCTCTACTACTGATTCTATGACTTTGAACAAATCATTTCACTTCTCTAGGCCACAATTTCTTGTCTGCAAAATAAATTTGGACTAGCTATTCCTGTTTCCTTGCAGCTGTAAAACTGTTATTTATTGACATCACTGACTTTTCTACATTAAGAAAATTACATATAATGACAAATTTAATTTTTACCCTAAAGAACGCAAGTTGAGCCTGGCTGGTGTGGTTCAGTGATTGAGCATGGCCCATGCACCAAGAGGTCACCATTTTGATTCCTGGTCAGAGTACATACCCAGGTTGTGGGCCCAGTCCCCAGGGGGGAGCATGCAGGAGGCAACCAATGGATGTTCTTTCTCATCGATGTCTCTATCTCTGTCCCTCTCCTTTCCTTTCTTTCTAAAATCAATAAAGAAAAATTATTTTTTTTAAAAAACAACACAAGTTGAAAACAGAAATATTTGGGGGAAAGCCTTTTATAGCATATTACATTAGATTAGTGGAAATGTAGTGATTCTTTGTTCAAAATTATTTCATGAAATAATTGGAGCTATTTGTATAATTTTGAGTTCTGAGTTATATAATTTTATAGAAAATAAATAATTGGTGCCCTGGCCAGTTTTGCTAAGTGGTTAGAGCGTCAGCCTGCGGACCAGAGAGTCCCAGGTTTGGTTCCTGCTAAGGGCACATGCCTCAGTTACAGTTTGTCCCCAGCCCCGGTTGGGGTCATGTGGGTGGTGACCACTCGATGTGTCTCTCTCACATCTATGTTTCTCTTTCTCTCTTCCTCCCTCTCTCCCTCCCTCTCTATCTGAAGATTAATGCAAAAAAAAAAAAAAAAAAAAATGTCCTCAGGTGAGGATAAAAATAAATAAATAATTGGTTTTTACATTTGTCTTCTTAATGTTGATTCCCACTGTTCATAGCAAGAATGTAGAAGCAAGATATTTTTCCACTTACGTCCTAATATGTGATCAAAATATACAGTTTTCTCTTTATGACCCCAGAAAAGGTCTGAATCACACCTTACAACTTATTCAGAAATACTATGACTTATAAAAGTTACTAATTAATCAATAAGCATTTATTGAGTCTCCTCTGGGTATATGGCTTTGTATAACTGCTATATCAATATTAATTTTTTTAACTCTTCATGAATTTGAGTGTCATCTTTGCTCAGGAGCCATACTAATCCTCTCTGTACCACTCCAATTTTAGTATGTGTGCTGCCAAAATGAGCACTCAATATTAATTTTTAAAAGCTAAGTATTTCAGTATGATGAGTGTAATGTAGTTACCTAATATTGAAGTAATGAAATCATAAGGTATTTTTCTCTAATTATTTCATGTACAATTATGTAATCTGTGAAAATCTTATTTTGCTAGAAAGATTTATAACATTAAAAAGCAGTGACTAACTCATACGCTCCTATACCCAGAAAATGTTCAATAGTCACTGGAGTGAAAAACAAGATGACTTAAGACACAGAACAAGACAAAAATATTTGATTCTGCAAAGTCTTATTTGTATCTTGAGGATTGGAGAAAAATTATACAAAGTATATACATCCTACAGATGTTTGAAACTTTTTCTAGTTATTGTGTCAATATTATTCTCACTTAGATGCTGAGGCTGTTGCATAAACACTGAAATGCACAGAAGTTAGAAAACAAGACTGCCTTATGGCCTTGCATTCTAGTGTTTCTGGCTTTTGATAAATATTTATCTGGCCTCTCATAATGACCTCTAAATAACTGCACTAGACTATCTGCTTGCGGAAATTACACAAATAATTTCAAGAGCAACTGAAACTACTGTAATACCCATCCTCACAACCTTCACCCTATGTAAAATTAGTACATATTCGTTCATCTTAGAGGCTTCTGAAATATATCTACATCTATAGATATATCTACATCAAAACTTACTTTATTTCTTCTTAATCTAGAGTTTCCCTAATTAGAATTGGTTAGACATTTAGAGCTAAAATGTAATGTTTTTTCTAAGCACAAAACTAATCATGCTTAAAATTTGAACCTCTTCTACTCAGTATTCCTTTTCCTTTCAACTAAAACATCAACTTTAAACTCCCCATTGCAGTAGAAAATTAAATTATACAACAAATTTAGGATAATGTCTTTGTCTAAATTTTGTCTCAAATGTGTTCAAAAAGCAAGAAGACCACCCACTCCTTTTTATGGAAAGAAATCCAAATTTCACTTATAAAAATAACTATTTAAAAGAAGGCTGATCACGGGCAGGTCATCTCAGAGCATGTCCCTATTTTATTTGGCATGACACTAATAGTATCTCTAGCATCTTTAATATTCTTTTGCTTCAGAACAATCATTGCCTTCTCCTGGTTAACTCATTTGTCCTGGGGGGATTCTCTTCCAGTATATAATGTTCATATTAATCAAATTTCTCAGTATATATGTATCTGCTATTATCCAGAAATCAGCTCTATAAATGTATTCTTCTTAAAACACAGAATTAAAATATGGAATTGTCAGACTTATGGGTTTTTTTCTCTTTCAAATATTACAGAATAATATTTCCTTATACCAAAAATAAATCCCTTTTGGAAAAAGCACCAAGCACAAACTAGTACTAGAATATTTTCACAGCACAGAATTATACACATTCTGTTTGCCAAGTTTTATGTAGGACATCTGTCAGAAATCTTATTTGCTATTGTCTCTCTTTCCTACATCTCCCGCTAAGGATTTTTTTTTCTTGGCCACAAAACTTTAGTAATAGAAAAAATGGGGTGGAGAGGAAAATCTGGTGGTGTGGTTAGCCTCAGTAACAATTTCTAATTAAAAGGTTAATGATCGCCCTGGCCAGTTTTGCTCAGCGGTTAGAGCGTCAGCCTGTGGTCCAGAGAGACCTGGGTTTGGTTCCCGCTAAGGGCACGTACCTCGGTTGCAGTTTGCCCCTGGCCCTGGTTGGGTCGTGTGGGTGGCAGCCACTCGATGGTGTGATGGTGTCCCTTTCACATCGATGTCTCTCTCTCTCTCTCTCTCTCTCTCTTTCCCTCCCACTCTATCTGAACAAAAAGTGGGAAAAATGTCCTCGGGTAAGGATAAAAATAAATAAATGGCTAATGATCAATATCATATAATCAGTCGTCCATTACCTCACCTATCTCCAAGGACAACCCTACAGGATGAAGACTAACTCTTTACCTTATGAACAAAGGTCTTCACAATCTTTCCAGCCCTATCCACCCTTTCACCCCCTAGAGTCCAGATATACTGAGCCTCTTGCAGTTTGTTGAACATATCAGGCCCTTACGCCAATTTCACTTCCTTTCTAACTTAAAAAAAAAAAAAAGTGGAGGAGGGAGTGCTATCATTTTTTACAGATTATTCCCTTCACCTTCAATGCTTTTCCCTGAATCATCTCCAGGCAATCTCCTATTCTTTTTTCAAAATCCAGCTTTATTGTCACCTCCCTGGTTAAACATTCTTCAATACCCAGGCCATTACAAGCCTTGTCCTCTTTGTTTCCAAAGTTTTGTTCATACTCTAGAGTAGTGTAACATTCCTCTTCCGTTTTTATTGTTCTTTGTTTTGATTTCGGAAGAGAGAAGATGATACGTCAATTTTAATGTTATTTTTTTTTCTTTATACTTTTCTATATTTTTTTACTTCCTACAATGTATTAGTTAATAAATTCAAAAAATAGAAATATTATTTCCAAATAGTATTTCAGGACAAAGAAAATAAAAACAAGTAGTCTTCAGTATCCAGAACAAAAATTGTATTCAAGGTAAGGAAATGCAAAAAAATTATGCAAACTCTCTGTATATTATCAAAAAAACAAATTACTTCACAAATGATACTTTATGATCGGCATCATATTCTAATACTTATCAAAAGCTTCTGGATTTTTTTTTTTTTTTTATCCTCCCCTGAGGACATTTCTCCACTTTTTGTACAGACAGAGTGGGAGGGAGAGAGAGGAAGAGAGAGAGAGGGAAATATCGATGCGAAAGGGACACATAGAGTGGCTGCCACCCGCACGACCAACCAGGGCCGGGGACAAAATGCAACCGAGGCACACGCCCTTAGTGGGAACTGAACCCGGGCCTCTCTGGACCGCAGGTGGACGCTCTAACCGCTGAGCCAAACCGGCCAGGGCTGGATTTTTTAATATTATATTTAGTACTTTGATTTATTGCTAGTTAGATTTGTGACTCATTTTAATTATTTTCTATTTTGTTGTATTACCTCATTCATGTAAGCCCCCTAAAGCCTTTGGTGAAAGAGAAACAGTGTAAACAAGCCATTTGGGCACTAGAATTTTAACTGTCCCTGGCAGGTTCTACCAGATGCACATATTTAGCTGGAGTGGGAATACTTCTTTAGAGCAAGTCATCATGAAAAGAGCAAAACAACTAACCATGTGACTAAAATCCATAGTATAAAAGAGCTCCCAGCCCTGGCCGGTTTGGCTCAGCAGTTAGAGCGTTGGCCTGTGGTCTAGAGAGACCACTGAATGTGTCCTTTTCACACTGATGTTTCTCTCTCTCTCTCTCCTTCCCACTCTATCTGAAAAAAATATCAAAAAATGTCCTTGAGTGAGGATAAAAAAAAAAAGAGCTCCCATATGCAGTCAGCATAAGCACACCTATATACAACAATCATAAATGATATGCAGAAGGTTCTAATATTTATTTCTATCTAGTCTTGATTATAGAACTGATCAAAACACTTAGCTACAAATGGCTAAGCTGTGTTTTCTTTTCTTCTTCTTTTTTTTTAATCCTTACCCAAGGACATTTTTCCATTTTTTGTTCAGATAGAGTGGGAGGGAGAGAGAGAGGGAGAAACATCAATGTGAAAGGGACACATCGAGTGGCTGCCACCTGCACGACCCAACTAGGGCTGGGGACAAACTGCAACCGAGGTACGTGCCCTCAGCGGGAACCGAACCCGGGTCTCTCCGGACCGCATGATGACGCTCTAACCGCTGAGCCAAACCAGCCAGGGCTAAGCTGTGTTTTCTTCTTTTTTTTTTTTCCCTTTTATCCTCACCCGAGGACATTTTTTTTTCTTTTCATTTTTGTGTTCAGATAGAGCGGGAGGGAGAGAGAGAGAGAAACATCGATGTGAAAGGGACACATAGAATGGTTGCCACCCACACGTAAGCTGTGTTTTCTTAAATGTGTTTTATCTTCTCCCGATTTTCTTCTATGTGTTCTGTTCTTGTGCATTGAAGATCTGGCTAATATACAAGGTGGCTTATGAGATCAGTACCTTTATTATTATTTGCTAAAGCAGTGATACTTTCTAAACCTGCAATTTCTTTTTTTTAATTTTTAAATATATTTTTATTGATTTTTTTAGAGAGAGATAGAAACATCAGTGTGAGAGAGAAACATTGATTGGCTGCTTACTGCATGCCCGCCCACCACTGGGGATCGAGCCTGCAACCCCAGCATGTGCCCTGACTGGAAATCAAACTGGGACCTCTAACTCCATGGGATGACACTCAATCCACTGAGCCACACTGGCCAGGTAATACTTTTTAAATTTTTTCTTTTTTATTTATTTATTTATTTATTTATTTATTTATTTATTTAGGTTTTTGGTACATGCCTCTGGTGGGAACTGAACCCGGGACTCTCTGGTCCGCAGGCCGAGGCTACAACCGCTGAGCCAAACGGGCCAGGGATAAAATTTTTCTTTTTTAAATATGTTTTTGATCGATTCCAGAGAGACAAAGGGAAAGGGAGAAAGAGAAACATTGCATGTACCCTGACCAGAGATCGAACCCAAAACCTGGGCATGTACCCTGATGGGGAATTAAACAGAAGACCCTTCGGTGCACAGTGATGACGCTCAACCAACTGAGCCACACTGGCCAGGGTTCTTGAAGGATACACTACTTTTTAAGAACAGAACCATACGTGAGAAACACAATAGATCTTAAAGGAAAAATGTCTGAGTCCTTATATTCACTTTAGAAGCAAGACAAAATCAAAATGATGACATTGAATCACATCTTTCCCCTGGGCCTTTACCTGATATTATCAGCATATTTATACACAATTTGGTTTGTTCAGAACAATGATTGAAATCTTAAGCTGTTTTAGGTTGTACAAAGGGAATAAAAACCCTTAACTTGTAAACTATAGGCCTTAAAGTAGAAACTAGAATTTGTAAGCTTTGCTTATATTACCAGTGGCCTTTCTACTTCCTTCAGAACTCTTGTACAAGCAATTGGTGTGTTA